GAAAAACGTGGTTAGTCAGGAGCCAGGCGGTCTCTAGTGCAGCGGGGAGCTTAGGGAGGGCGACTAAGTGAGCAGCTTTAGAGAAGCGATCGATAATGGTGAGGATGACTGAGTTACCAGACGAGGTGGGCAGACCAGTGATGAAATCAACAGCAATGTGTAACCAGGAGCGGCTTGAAGTCAGAGGCTGGAGGAGACCGAAAGATGGTTGATGGACATTTTTGTTTTGAGCGCAGTTTGGGCAGGCGGCAGTGTATTTGCGGACATCCTTAGCGAGAGATGGTCACCAAGCGAAGCGTTGAAGAAAGGTGATTGTGCGGTGGACCCCAGGGTGACAGGTGAACTTGGCAGTATGAGCCCAATGTAGCACTCGTGACCTTACTGACGAGGGCCCGTTCCGAGATCTGGTTCAGTCTGTTGAGCCTCTCTAATCGCCAACTCGATCTCCCAGGTCAGGGCCCCAATAACACACGTGGGAGGAAGAATGGGGGAGTCCTGAGCTGTGTCTTCGGAGGCGGTGAATTGGCGTGAGAGAGCATCGGGCTTGACATTACCGGAACCTGGTAAATCTGGTAAAGAATAGGGCCCACCTGGCTTGCCTGGCGTTGAGTTGTTTAGCTGACCGAATGTGCTCCAAGTTCTTGTGGTCAGTCCACGTCACAAATAGCTGGGCAGCACCCTCCAGCCAGTGATGCCACTCTTCCAGGGCGAGCTTGATGGCCAGTAGTTCTCAATCTCCCACGTCATAGTTTCTCTCTGCGGGGGAGAGGCGGTGAGACAAGTACATGGATGAAGCTTACCGCCTTGTTGCTGGGAGAGCACCGCCCCACTCCCGCATCTGTGGCGTCCACCTACACGATGAGCTGTTGGTTGAGGTTGTGTTGGACGAGGATGGGTGCCGAGGCAAAGCGTTCTTTCAGGTGAGTGAAGGCCTGTCGAGCAAGGTTATTATCGTTAACGAAAACTAACGAAATAATGAAAACTAGAAGTGAAAAAACATTTTCGTTAACGGAAATAAAAATAAAAACAAAAAAAGGAAAACTAACTAAAACTATAATGAGTGTTCACAAAACTAACTAAAATTAACTGAATTTATAGCAAAAATGTGTTTAGTTTTCATTGATGTGTGCGTGTCGTACAATAGTCAAGGATGAAAATGAAGTTTAGTTTCCAGATTTTTTTATTGCTGTGTCTCATTATGCCAGCAGGTGGCAGCACGTTAGTCGAGTTGTCTGTGTTGCTGCTCCGTCCACGCGCAGAATCATGTCAGGAAAAGTCGGGAGCCAGAGTCCAATTTGGGATTACTTTGAATATGACTGTGTTTTGGATAAAGCAAGTGTCTTGTAGTGGAAACAGACAAATTATGAGGGACATTTCTAAAGGGAAAAAAATCCCACAAACCTTAAAGTGCACTAGAAAAGCTCACAAAAGAAGGCTAACCTAGCTTACCTTGAGAAGGTAAGGGAGCACACTCAACCCTCATCCCCAGAAAACAGAAGCTAACCCCAGGCA